AATCCCTGCTTCATCCCTAAAACTACATGCACCGGTTTTGTGTCACCACCTGCTCAGATTGAGCCAAGGAGCAAAATCTACTCTGTCTTTAAAGCGGCATAAGTATAATCCTCATTGACAATAAACCGGTGTGCCGCTTAATATGCAAATGAGTACCCGCCGGGCGGCGGCGGATTGAACCTGGGACCTTCTGCATGCCAAGCAGAGGTGATTCCACTGAGCCACAGGCCCTCTCCAGAATCCCTGCTTCATCCCTAAAACTACATGCACCGGTTTTGTGTCACCACCTGCTCAGATTGAGCCAAGGAGCAAAATCTACTCTGTCTTTAAAGCGGCATAAGTATAATCCTCATTGACAATAAACCGGTCATACTCTTGGAGAGCAGTTCCTGACCTTTTCACTATGGTGGACCCACAAGTCGAAATTACTTGGTATGGTGACCCATCCAAGGCTGGCCCAAAGTCTTTTGGCACCCCTGGCAAACCACGACCTTGGCACCCACCTTAGTGGTTAGGAGCGCAGACTCTAGTCTGGGAGAACCACGTTTGATTCCCCACTCCTCCACATGCAGCTGCTGGTGTGACCTTGGGTCAGTCACAAGTTCTTTCAGAGCTGTTCTCTCAAGGGCAGTTCTCAAGAGAGCTCTCTCAGCCCCACCTACCTAAAGTAAGATAAAACCACTTCAGAAACCAACTGACACTGCACACACTGTGAACCCCAAACAAGTGGCATTCCAAGATACACAGCCTTTGCCTATAGAGGTTATACTCCAGCATCTGACCAACCTGGGCTTCTTCATTACTTCCTCTAATCCCACCTAAGGTTCTATGAAACTGACTCCAGTAACCATCAGCCCACATATTACTTCATCAATGTATATGTGCAGTTTTGTTGTTAAGCTGTTTGAAATATTTAATTTTTATTTTATTTTTTACAGACATGTATATGCAGGAAAGGAGCTACGGTGGCTGAAGTGGTTAAGACACTGAACTGCAGGCTGTGGAAGGTCGGTAGTTGAGCAGTTCAAGACCCGAGTTGCCGCATGACGGAGTGAGCTCCCGTCTCTAGTTCCAGCTCCTGCCAACCTAGCAGTTCGAAAGCAAGAAATTGCAAGTAGATAAATAGGTACCGCTTCGATGGGAAGGGAACAGCGTTCCGTGCGCCTTGGTGTTTAGTCATGCCGGCCACATGACCACGGAAACGTCTTCGGACAGCGCTGGCTCTTCGGCTTTAAAACGGAGATGAGCACCGCAACCCTAAAGTCAGACTCAACTGGCTTTTGAGCAAGGGAACCTTTACCTTTTATATGCAGGAAAGAAAAAAATATCAACTAATGTATGACATGGAAAATACTGCTTCCAGGGTCAGATCTTGGTTTCCAAAATACAAAAGAGGGAAAGGGAAAGGGAGAGGCGCTATCAGAGGCTTCATGACCCACTTTTGGGTCTTCACCCATAGGCTGGGGAACACTGCTCTTGGGCAACATACAGTTTCTTCTGAGAACATATTTGCAACAGGCAGATCAAAGTGCAAGAATTTAACTTTGGTTGCCGGTTTCTGCTATCTGAAAGTTGGTTTCGTATTTTCTTGGGTGCAATTCTACCCAGAGTACAAGCTCTCGACGTTGTAGGAAAGCAGAGTCAAGGTCGCTGAAGAAGGAAGCACTCCACTAAAAATAGTATGCCTTGCTTATAATCAGAGTCAGTCCTTTCCATCTCAAGTCTGCCTGCAAAATGGCACAAGCATGTCCGGTGTGGCTGGAGAAAGGATGGCATCAGAAATGCCTCGCTCTCTTTCTGCCAAGGAAGTGTCATGAATATAGCCAGAAACACAGGGTAACAATTGCTAGGTTTGACCAAAAAAAAACTAGAAAATGTCTCTGTGCCTGGCCTTCCCGTTAAAAAGGCAAAAAAGGGAGTTCAGAGGCCCAGAACAGAATAGCCTTGGAGAGGGACAAGAAACAAAGTAGGAACACAATTATATAGCCTTGTGTAGATTAGAAGCCATCTAACCCATGATCAATAGACATTACTTGTTCATGCCCAGGTGCAGAGAGCATTTGAGAAGGGCAAAAATGGCCAACTTCATAGAAGTGAATGGAGCTGCGGTGGCTCAAGTGATTAAGACGCTGAACTGCAGGCTGTGGAAGGTCGGTAGTTCAGCAGTTCGAGACCCGAGTGTGCTGCATGATGGAGTGAGCTCCCGTCTAATGAATTAACCATTTTTACATATTTTGAGATGACATTTTAAATACAAATAACCTTGTACAGCGTTTCAAGTTATATGAGAACGACAGTTTCAGGAGGGTAGCTGCAGGAGAAGAGGTAAATTCGAGTCCGGTAGCAACTTAAGAGACCAATGAGATTGTCCGAGTAGGAGCTTTAAGGAGTCAAAACTTCATATCTAACAAAGGGAGCTTCAACTCTCAAAAGCTGATTACCTGAAAATCCTGTTGGTCTCTAAGGTGCTGTATGATAATGAGTTCAAGAAGGAGGAGGAGGAGGAGGAAAAGGAGGAGGAGGAGGAGATTGGATTTGTATCCTGCCCTTCACTACCCGAAGGAGTCTCAATCTTCTTTCCCTTCCCCCTCCCCACAACAGACACCCTGTGAGGTAGGCGGGGCTAAGAGAGCTCTTTCGAGGACTGCTCCTGAGAGAACAGCTTTGAGAGAACCTGTGACTGACCCAAGGTGACACCAGCAGCTGCATGTGAAGGAGTGGGAAATCAAACTTGGTTCTCTCAGATCAGAGTCCACGCTACAGTTAGCTATCATTAGGAGATGATGTTGCAATCTTCTTAATAACGGAAGCTGAACTGATCAAGAGCTTCTTCTCAGGAGGGACTCCCGGCCTGTGACCTGCTCGTTTTTGGGGTACGGTACTTCTACGGACTCAGGTAACTACTCTCCTTGAATTATCTAAGTAACAATGATGAACGGTATAATTTTCTGTTGATGTAATCAATGTTAAGAATGCAATAGGTATGCTTTAATAAAAGCTTAAAATGGAATCAGAGATTCTACAATAGTTTTACTTGTATGCTCATGAAGAACCTAAAGCAATACTTTTTTTAAAAAAAACACATTTTATTTAATATTCTATAAATAATATATGTACAACACACATACAATACAAACCAACCTACAGTTACAGTCATATTCACACAATTGAAGCAATACCAAATATATATATAAATATCATATTAAAATTAAAGATTTTAAGTTCTTCAGAACCACTTCAAGCTGCAATGAGTAATCTAAGATAAGGGACCAGACTTCAGCAAAATCGGAACAAGACGGATGACAATTTTATTCATTATATACATTTCCCATATCTTGTGACACCACAAAGTTAGTGTAGGTACATCTGGACATTTCCAGATAGTGGCTGTTGACGTTCTTGCCGCTACCAAAAGGATGACTATTAGAGAGCCAGTTTGATGTAGTGGTTAGGAGAAAAGAACATTCCCTTGATTGACAGGCACATGGGTTTGACAGGCTACAGTGATCATCTCACCTACTGCAGAGTAGCACCTGCCCCACCAGACTGAATGTAGTTCCTTCCTTCAGAAATTTAGTGAAGCCGCACGGGATTCATATAGTCCAAAAAAGAACCCAGTAATGTTCCAGAGCACAAATGGAACATTGTACTTTTGAATGAGTACCCAAGTCAAAACAGCTTCCGTTACGAGTTAGAAGGGTGGCATAGCAAAGTTTTAAGCAAGCAAACAAACGGGGAAAAAATCCCTGCATGTAGAAAGCTATCACATCAGGAAGTAGCGCTCCAGGTCTAGACTTCTGACTTAGATGCTAACTCTCCACACACAGCTGTTCTGAGCATTCTAAGGAGTGAACACTCACTCTGACCCCAGCGGCATTCTGAAGGGGTGCAAGTCCCATGAAGGCCGTACTAGTCTTCTCCTGGTTATTTTAAATCAGGGCTCCCCAATGGGGCACCCAGGAGCCAGGAAAGGAGGCAGGGCCGTTGTACAAGCAGAACCAGGGACTGCCATAATACAAATAAAGGGGCTTCTCATTCAGACCCTCCCCACTACTCACTGAAAAGAGATCTGTGATCATGTAAACAGGATTCATGGATCAGTGCAGCACCCCTTTCCCCCCTTGGTCATCTTCTGTGGGCATTATTTCCCCCTTGGGCTTCTTCTGTGTGTGTGCACACGTTTATATTCCCTATCCCCCTTCCTACTCTGTGAGTCTGTGTGTACGTGTGCGTAGCCATTCCGTAGTGCCTCAAAATTCCCACCTCAAAATTGCAAAGGTGCCAGCAGGTTCAGAACAGCTGGGGACCCCTAAACCAATCAAGAGAGGCTCCATATTCTACAACAGGCCATCAGAATGGATGGATAAGTACAGCTGCTTTCGGAGAAGTGCATTTCTACCATATGCACGTTTCCAGATACATGTGTGGGTTACGTGTGCATGAATTCTCTTAATGGCTGTGAGAGTATGCAACAGAAAGCAGATACATTCGTGCCTCTGATATGCTGGATGTTTTAACACGTGAAGCAGCTTGTCAGATACGCAGCTAACCAGAGCATAATTTACCCATGGAAACTATGTTCATATGCGAGCACAAGCAATTACTCATCCTTGTCACCTTTCTTGACTTACAAATGCCGAAGAAGAAGTTTTCATACCCCACTTTTCTCTACTTTAAGGAGTCTCAAAGCAGCTTACAATCACCTTCCTTTCCTCTCCCCACAACAGGCACCTCATGAGATTTCTGAGAGAACTGAGACTGGCCCTAGGTCATCCAGCAGGCTACATGTGGAGAAGTGGGGAGTCAAATCCAGTTCTCCAGATTACAGTCCACTGCTCTTAACCACTACACCACAAAGATGACTTTGCCCACGACCTAAATCACAACAGTATTTCCTACTGTTACCTAAACCATCAACACTGGCTAAGAACAACCATTTTGCAATCATTACAACTGCTGCACAGCACTGTCATCATGACGACGGTTTACTTACAACTTACCAGAGACATAGGAAAACACAGGGATCCGAAGAGCAAGTCTCTGAAGCGAAGCACGAACTTGGCAATTCCCTGTTTCTTCATTAAGGTAAGCCCATCAACCAGCAAGGAGATGCCACACAAAGCAGCCTGGAAAACCTAAATTAATTACAACTAATGAGCACATCTTCATCCAGTTTCAATTGTACATGCCTCAGTGAACTCCCTTCTTGCATTTAAGGGAGCCGTTTTCGGGGCGAACCATGAATCGGCACATGGGAAATCGCTGCTGGCTAGATCTATCTTATTTACTGAAACTGTTTTAATAAATTAGTTTGGGCGGCAAACTTTAGCACTGTCTTGTTTAATGGGATTAAATACGCACCGGGGAGCATAGGTAGCTTTGTTTAGACCAAATGTGCAAAGATGATAAAACTCACTTAAATACATACCCTTTAATTTTTATTTATTTATCATATTTATGAATCGCCCAATCCCTGCCACAGCAGGGCTCTGGGCGATGTACAACAGCCATAAAACAAAGACAAGATGAAACCAGTTATAACATGAATAAAGCATTTCAACAATCAGATAGCGAACAATTAATCCATCCCAATTCCAACTACCGGTTACTTCGCGGGCAGGGGAGGGCTAGGTAGATGTAAAGAACAGAGAAGTGTGCAAGCCAAAATGGAACTGTCGCTGTCCTCAACCAAAAGCCTTGCAGAATCACTCAAAGAGTGATTAACACATGGAATTCACTGCCACAGGAGGTGGTGCAGCTACATGCATGGACGGCTTCAAGAGGGAATTGGATAAAGCAGAGGTCCATCAGTGGCTATTAGCCACAAGGTATAGATAGGGACTCTGGGGCAAGTGATGCTCTGTCTTCTTGGTGCTTGGGGGGGGTCAACAGTGGGAGGGCTTCTAATGTCCTGGCCCCACTGGTGGACCTCCTGATGGCACCTGGTATTTCTGGCCACTGTGTGACACAGAGTGTTGGACTGGAGGGGCCTTTGGCCTGATCCAACATTGGCATCTCTTATGTTCTTATGTTAACATGTCTGCCTTGGAGACCCTGCAGAACTGCATCAGGTCCTGCGGGGCCCTGATGGTGCTTGGCAGAGAGTTCCACCAGGTTCCCATTGGCATGCATTCTCCATTAGGATGGAAGAAGTTCCTCCAGGCTAAAGAGTCTTGCCTTGACCTGGATGGCCAAGCCTAGATCAGTCTTATCAGATCTCGGAAGCTAAGCAGGGACAGCCCAGGTTAGTACCTGGATGGGAGACCACCAAGGAAGTCCAGGGTCAGGATGCAGAGGCAGGTAATGTCAAACCACCTCTGTTCATCTTTCGCCGTGGAAAACCCACAGGGTGGCCATAAGTTGGTTGCAACTTGACTGCACTTTAAACGCATATAAGGAGCTTTCTTCCAATTAAGTAGCTCATCCAGTGCAGGAAAGGCCAGTTAAACTGGAGGAAATCTCCTTAGCCTCAAGTGCTAGAAACAATGCCATGATATAGAATGTATTAATCTGAAGGGAGTAACATAGCTTATCTGCAAGGTACCAATAGAGGTAGGTCCACACTGCACAAGGTATTGATTACACAGGTCACAGAGTCTAAACCCCATCTCAAAAGAGGACTGTCCCTCTGATACCCTGGGGAAATGATTGCCGGGGGGGAGGGGGGAAGCAAAACCAAAAAGAGACAGCACCACCAAAATATTATTGGGGCTTTTTTGGTAAAGACGTACCTTGTGATAGCAAAAATGCATTTACTCTCCATGAAGTAACTATGGTCCCTGCCACGCGGGGGGGGGGGGGGAGCGCGGGCAAAGTGCGGCTTTTGAAAGCCGCACCAAAAAAGACACGCAGCGGCGGGGTCATACAGTTCCCGTGAGCCGCCGCGCAGTTGCTCCCCGGCACGATCAGATGCCGGGGAGACCGGGGAGAAAGCGACGAGACAGATGGAGGCTGCCGAACTGCACATGTGTGAGCATGCGCAGTTCGGCCAGGGGTCTTGGATGCGCCGGCAGAAGGACGCACCGGTGATCCCACAGCCGCGCTTGATGCGGCCATGCTGGTAAGTCCACCTCTGTAGGTGGTTTATTTTAGATGCGGCTTTTCGGCCTGAAGGGCCGGATCGGGGACGGGTGCGCAACGTTTCCCAGATGTTGCAGTGGGATTGCGCACGTTTGCTGCACCCCCGATCTGTCCCTCTCCCGGGCCAAAACCTTTCGTGTGACCGGGGCCTCTATCTATCTATCTATCTATCTATCTATCTATCTATCTATCTATCTATCTATCTAATCTATCTAATCTGTTTTATCTATCTATCAAATTGTAAATGTAAAAGTATATGTTTTAGAATGAACTTAAGGTCTGTATGTGTCTTATAAAGCTGAACAATCATTCAAATTCAGGGTTTGTAAAATTCACCAGTTAGAGAAGAAGGAAGGAAAATATAGCCGTTGTGATGGTCCCTCAGCCTGGTTCGAGAGGAACCAGTCGTACAGCAGGGAGAACAGAGCAATCATACTTCAGCAAACGTAGATAGGTGCTAATCAAAAGTCAAGGGGCCACAGTGGCTCAGAGGCTGAGACACTGAGCTGTAGACCAGAAGGTCTGTAGTTCAGCAGTTCGAGACCTGAGTGTTGCGTGACGGAGTGAGCTCCCGTCTCTGGCCCCAGCTCCTGCCAACCTAGCAGTTCGAAAGTGAGAAACGGCAAGTAGATAAATAGGTACCACTTTGGTGGGAAGGTAACAGCGTTCCGTGTGCCTTGGCGTTTAGTCATGCTGGCCACATGACCACGGAAATGTCTTCAGACAGTGCTGGCTCTTTGGCTTCCAAATGGAAATGAGCACCGCCCCCTAGAGTCAGAGTCGACTAGCTTTCTAGCAAGGGAAACCTTTACCTAATCAAAAGTCACATTTTTCAATTTCCCTTTGACGTATAAGAAGACCTAGTTTAGTCAGCCAGGGAGGCAGAGGAAGGACCTCAGAAAACGAGGACAGAGCTGAAATCTAAATCCTTGCAGTAGAGAATTCCCTCAAGAGGTGGACGTTGCCTGAGTACTGAGGGAGCTCGAGATCAGGGAGGGCTGAATAGCTCTTCAGAGAGCTTAGGCTCCAGCAACCTACCACAGCCAATCTCAAAGCAAAGTCCATGAAGGAAATCCCAGGGAGAGGAGATCCCCCCCCCATCAGAACTCTGGCAGAAGAAACCTCAGAAGACGGAGACTTTCAATTCATACTGAATACAAACAAAGACAGCTCTCCTATACCCAGTTCTGCATTTTTCTGCTGCTTGTGTCAAGTTGGTGTTGAATATTAAAGAACATAGGCTCCAGTCACACGGGCAGGAAACAGCGGGGGGGAAGCGTGGCTGTTTGCCCCGGGGCAAACCAACGCGCGGTTAAGCGATCAGACCTCCTGTGGAGGTTCTGTGGAGGTACCGTGGAGATTCCGTGGGTAGGGAGAGGTGCCGATCACAGGACACGCCTGCGCACAACGAAGAAGCGCGCGGTGCGGCAAACTGGTTTTCCTTTTTTTGTGTACACGACGAATGCGCATGCTCCGTTGGGTGCGTGTGCGCATCCACGGAGACTTGGAGAAAAAAAAACACCTTTTTCACAAGGGGACATGGGCGGGCGCCGGATGCCACCGGAAACGCGATCAGACGCCCGCCCTTGCCCCGCGGTTTCCGGAAACTAGTACCTCTGAGGTACTAGTTTTTTGCTGCGTGTTTTCGGCAGGAAGCCTTGGTTGTGCCACGGAAGCGCTACGCTTCCCAGATGTGCCGTTGAGATCGCACCCCGAAAATCCGCCTGTCTTCTGTCTCTCTTGCGTGGCTAATGTTCCGTGTGACCGCAGCCACAGTTTGTTTGGATCTGAAGAGAAATGAGTGGTTCTTTTCCTTGGGCAGCAAGCGGTCTAACTACGCTAACCAGCCCTGAGAAGTCTGATGGTCTCACATGCAGAGGGAGATTACATTCTCTATCAACACTCAAGGATCACACTAAGAAACAGAATCCCCAGGAAAGCTATGCAGCTAGAAGCTGGATCGGTGACTACAAGTTGCAAACCAGAACCCAAGTGGGAGTTGCCACAGACTGACAACAGAGATCACTATAAGTAGAGGGCAAGGTTCGCCTTTGGCCCAGTGGTGCTCCCGTGTGAACCGGTTTGCTTTTCTTCCCATGTGCCTTGTTGAAGGACGTAATATGCCTCTTGGCAAACAGTGCCATCTGGATGAATGTGGTGACATGGATTGTGTATGCAAACCTAATTTAAAAATTGTTTGTGGGTTAACCCTAAGGAGGAACCTCCTGGTTCTATGTCTCATTCACAGCAAACCAAAAAGCGACATAAGGTACGGCCAAGGGTTTGGCATACCCAGTGATATCTTAGCTGACTAGGGATTCGAACTCAAGCGCTCCTGGCTGAAATCCAGCAATCCTGCCATTGTACCAGACTAACTCACTTCCAATGGCCTCTTTGGTTTGTTCCCTTTTGAGTAGCTGACCTCCCCGGCATATGCGGGATTGTCCTTGAAGCCCGGCTCAGTTTTGGAAGAGATTCTTGGCGCTGCATTGCAGGCTGCTCCTTGAGAAGCACAAGTCAAAGGCTCTCCTGAGGGCATACTGTAACTGAACTAGCTGTATCACTTTTTGCTTCCAGTCGGGATGCTAAAAAATGCTTTGAACTCCCTTTCTGGAAGGAAGAAGGTGGACCAGTAACCCACCAGGCAAACGGAGAGAGGCTGTGCAGTACAGTGAATTGCAGAGGGCTCCCGCTGAATCCAAAATATCTAATAAATGTATTCTCACAGTTGCTGGGTTAAATACCCAGAAAAGCAAGAGTAGATGCCACAAAGAAAGACTGACATTGGAGTCCAGCGGCTCACGAAATCTTATACTTTGAATAAAACTTTGTTGGTCTCAAAGGTGCCGCTGGACTCAAAACTTTCTTCTTCTGCTGCTTCTGACCAACCTGGATCTGTCTTCCCCGATGTGTATGCCAAGGTTAGACAAGACGGTGCTATAGCGTTTGCCACCCAAAGGTAAAGGTTCCCTTGCTCGAAAGCCAGTCGAATCCGACTCTAGGGTTGCGGTGCTCATCTCCGTTTCAAAGCCGAAGAGCCAGCGCTGTCCGAAGACGTTTCCGTGGTCATGTGGCCGGCATGACTAAACACCAAGGCACACGGAACGCTGTTCCCTTCCCACCGAAGTGGTACCCATTTATCTACTCGCAATTTCTTGCTTTCGAACTGCTAGGTTGGCAGGAGCTGGAGCTAGAGACAGGAGCTCACCCGTCTTGGGTCTTTCCTGCCACCCAAACTAATTCATTAAAACGCTTTCAGTAAAGACGACAGATTTAGCCCTGCACCCGGAAAGTCTCGCTGGCCTCTGCTGGAGGCAACCCTTCCCTTTCTACTGCTGGAGGCGTTTCCTCGCTTCTCCTTTGCACGCGAGCGCGCTCTGCTTCCGCCCTCGCCTTCTTTCTTGCCCAAAGTTCGGGGACCCCCTTCCCCGCCCTCCCAAGTGACCAATGTTCCCTCTAAGCTGTGGAGTCCTGTGAGCAGAAATTCTACTTTGTGAGCTACTGGCATTCAAGTTGTGAGCAGTGTTCCCTCTAAGCTGAGTTAGTGTGAGCTAGCTCACAGAATTTTAGCCTCCGGCTCACACATTTTTGTCTTAGCTCAGGGAGGATGGCTCCAGAGCAAACTAAGTTATGCAGTGGTCAAATGGCTCGCTCATAACTTTAATGCCAGCAGCTCACAAAGTAGAAATTTTGCTCACAAGACTCCACAGCTTAGAGGGAACATTGGTTGTGAGCAGGTAGTTTGGCTGCTGCATAAAATCAGTTTGCTCTGGAGCCATCCTTCCTGAGTTAAGACAAAAATGGGTGAGCCGGAGGCTAAAAAGCTGTGAGCTCGCTCACATGCCGGCGCGGGGGGGGGGGCTGTCCCTGGGCGCCTCCCGCCCTCCGGCCCCCCGTTCCCTTGGGCGCGCAGAGATGCCCCTGGGGAGCCGGCCTTGCCTGCAGCCGCTTACCAGGTTGAGAAAAGTGAGGAACTTCCAGGGCCCGCCGTAGGCGACGATTTCCGGAGGCGCGTCGGTGACGCCGGCCACGCTGATCTGGGAGGTCGCGGAGGCGATGAAGACGAACCAGGCGAAAGCCAGGCCGTGCCACAAACAGGCGCGGGAGGGCTGCATGGCGCTGCTGCTGGGCTGCTGCTGCTGCTGCCGCGGCTCGGGGCGCCCGGCGGCTACGCGCCTCTCCCCTGCAAGCTGCCCGCGCGGAGGAGTGGACTTTATCCCTTCGCTTGCCGCCTCCCCGCCTTGCTTTCCGCGCGGCGCTCCAGATTCCCTGGGGATTAGTCGCCCGGCTACGGCAGATTTAGGGGTGGGGGGTGTGTGGGACGGGTTTGCATAAATGCGCGGCGCTGCTCGGGGGCTAAGCGAACCGGTTTCCCTCCCTCCGTGCTGGTTGCCGTAACTTTCCTGGTTGGCAAACCTCTGGGGGGTGACAGATGGTGGAAGAAGGGGGGGGGTAGGGGAGGCCCTTCAATGGGGTAGAACTGCCAGAGAGTCCACCTTCCAAAGAGGCCGTTATCTCCAGGTGACCTGATCTCTGCACGGTGGGGGGTGGTCAGGAGTAACAGATTCTAATGTGAAAGACCAGGTTTGCTTCCCCGCTCCTCCTCCTCCACATGGAACCAGCTGGGTGATTGTGGGCCAGTCTCTGAACTCTCCCAGCCCTACTTGCCTCACAGGCAGGGATCATTTCCTGCAGGAGTGCACAGGAGCGGAGCTCCGGCAGTAAAGAGCCCCGCCTCCTGCTCCCAGCAGACCTCAGTCAGAGCAAGAAGCAGCCAGGTAAGCTGCAAAGCCCCCCCCAACCCCCCACTCCAAAACAGTCCAGTGGCACATTTAAGACCAAGTTTTATTCAGGTACAAGCTCCCTCCTCTGTGAGGACCGA